CAGAAGTTCGGTCTTGCATTCAATCTCTGAATCCACGAAAGGCAGCAGGACCTGATGAGCTCTCTCCAACTCTTTCCAGTATGGGAAATGATAACCTCGTAACCTCTATTTCTACGTTACTGCGCAACATTTGGATGCAAGAGCGCATTCCTTCATCTTGGGGCTAATCACTGACCGTTCCTATTTTTAAGAAAGGATCCCGCAATAATTGCGAAAACCACCGCTGGATAAGTTTGATCCCGATGGTCACCAAAGTGCTAGCTTCGGTTATACTTCGACGTCTGACGCCTTTAAGAGAGACCAAAATCCGTGAACAGCAAGCCGGATTCCGGCCTGGCCGTGGATGTATTCGTCAGATTTTTACGTTGCGTCAGATCCTTGAGCTGCGTCATACTCACCGTCGGCCAACGATCGCAGTGTTTCTTGACCTGAAAGGAGCCTTCGACTCCGTTGACCGCGAAGCTCTGATGGGCTGTTTTCTTCGAAAAGGAATGCCCCAGAAGTACGTTAAACTACTGCGGTCACTGTACTTACATACCTCCGGTCGTGTAACGGTCTACAACGAACCTTAGTTTGTTGTAGGCTAGTCGTCACCAGCAGCGGCGTTCGTGAGGTGTGCCCGCTCTCGACTTTCCTGTGCAATTTCGTCGTAGACGAAATATTGCAGAGCGCACCAAGCGGACTCCAAAACGTAGGTTTTGAGTGGACAGCTGGAAAAAAATATGCGATTTGGAGTACCCCGATGATATCCCCTATCTGTTCGAACGAATGGAAGACGGGAAAAGCACACGTGATAGATTAACAAGTGCAGTGGCCACATTCGGTATGTGCTTTACACCTTCAAAGTGCCAAGTGCTGCTGCAGGACTGGGTTTCGTCTACTCCGGCTTTGAAACTAAACGGTCAGGATTTGGTGGTGGTGGATTACTTTTCCTACTTAGGTAGTTGCGTGACCAATGACGGTAGTGCAGCAAAGGAGATGACCGTCCGTATTTCCAAGGCTCGAGCAGCATACGCAGTACTGAAACACCTTTGGCTGAGACGCAACGTTTCACTAAAATTTAAAGTTCGTGCATATTGTGTTAACGTTCGTTCAGTCCTGCGTTATGGTTTTGAGACCCTAAATTTGCGAGTAGAAGATATTCGTCGACTAGAAGTTTTCCATTATCGGTGTTTACGCAGTTTAGTCCATGTTGGATGGAACGAACGGGTTAGTAACGTGGAGGTAAGCCGTCGTGGGTTTGGGAGTCTGTCAGGTATAAACCTGCTAGCATACCGAATTCATATTAGTAGGCTTCGCTGGCTAGGGCACGTATTGCGTATGCCCAGCCACCGTCTGCTGCACCGCGCTTTATTCGCTGTAGCTAATCCGGGCTGGAGGAAACCATGTGAAGGTCAACAGATGACGTGGAGACGAGGCATGAAGAAATGCACAGAGCTATTAGGTAGAGTAGGTGTCTCTCGCCTTCCAGGTTGGGGTCCGAAAGACTCCACAACTGGTTGGTTGGAGACATTGAAGGATATGGCAGCGAACCGACAACAGTGGCGTTCGTGTTTTCGTTTCTTATCAGGTCAAAATGCTTTAGACGATATGTGTGCAGAGTTGGATTGCGTACTGTGTGTTGACTATAGTGGCTCACCTTCTTCTCTCTCTCTCTCAAAATAGATCCAATCCCTGTCCACCTTAAACTTTACCAGTAACTTTGTATGCAGTGCGAGTTTGGCAGCGATCAGTGAAGTTCACCTCACTGTGTTTCGCTATATGATGATGTTCTTGATACTGCTTTCCTTTTATACCGAAATATTCCTTTATCTCATTGGTCGCCATGGACAACAAAGACCGCATAGAATGAAGATCGTCTAAAAGGACCTCCTCCCAGTGATAGACGTTCGGATTTCTGGACTTTAATGCTAACATGATTGCTTGCCACAATGATCCGTTCAGGCGTTCCACTTGATCATTAACCTACGGGCTGTAGGCCGTAGTTCGGCTGATTTCGATGCCCTTAGAGTGCGAGAAGTGCTTGAGTTCTTTTTTACATAAAAGAGGAGCCGCGGTCTGAGTGGATGTAGTTCGGCAATTCAAAGATAGAGAGAAGTTGCCAGAAGCACTTTATTACTGTTGTGGAGGACTTGTCTTGATAGGCGAATGCGAAAGTAAACCGGGAGTATTCGTCGATGATAGTCAAGATATATTTACTGTGTGTAGGATGGCAGCGGATCCCTGAAATATATACTTGGTCTTTCAAACCGTTAAGTCACATTGATTAATAGTGTGTTCACTGGTTTGAGGAACCTGGGTTTAATCTTGGTGCATACTTGGCGATGAGAAATCGCCCGTCGGACTTCATCTACGGAATACAATAAGTTTCGAGAACCGACGATGTGATACATACGAGTTATCTCCGGATGAAAAGTGCCTTGTGTAACTCCTTTAGTACGTTGGTATCTATAGCGACTGCACCATAGCCGCGTGAAAACGCGTCGATCGCTAGATTGTCACNTGACATCGTATCGGAAGCATGATAGTTCAACTTTCCAGCGCTGATTTTTTCCGTTTTTTATTTCACCTTTTGGCTCGTTATTGAACATGAGTGCAACTGATCGTTGATGGATGACTAGCGTGATGTGGTTTCCCAGCAGAGTGCTCCATTTTCTCGGTGCTTCCACTATGGCGCGAGCTTCTTTTTCGACCGCGGAATGACGCCTTTCAGTTGGTGTTAGTATTCTAGAGAAAAACGCCACCGGTCTACCACTTTGGTTGAGATTGGCAGCGATGGCAATATCTGAGGCATCTGTCTCGACAGCAAGAGGCATTCCGGGCACCACAGTGACTACCATCGAGCTTTTGGGTTCTTGCTCTAGTTTTTCAAAGCAGCGTCTGATGGGTTTAGACAGTGGGAATGATCGATTCTGGACCAGCGGGTTGATTTTGTCCGAAAAGCGTGATATCCACTGCGAGTAATACGTGAACATACGTGATGCGCGCTCCTGCTTTTTCACATTTTGAAGTCGCTTCATTCCTCTTCAGATGAATAGTTTATATGGCACTGGATCTTCAGTCCAGAAGTCGGAATTCTTTCCCTATATTCACAAGCAGTAATAAAATATTCACGACAATGCTTAGTGTTTTCTGGTTATATTTGTCCACTATCAACTTTATCACTCAGCCATCAATCATCCACTATTCCTTTCTCTCCATAATTTCAGTTTGATATTCGCACCCGTTCTTGGACTTGTTGCTTGTGCCAGTCACGCAATAACTTTCCCCCTCAATATGCCGGGATGACTGAACAACGGCTTCCAGCAGAACTCATGGCACCGTATACAACATTAGAATATACAATCACGGTATATTTACCCATGTTTTATCATTGCTTCATATGTTTTTATGTGATTCACCACTGGTTGTATCGTGGCCACCGGGTATTTTGGTCCTTATTATGTGGTGGGCTACAATTTTACTTTACTGTTCTCTTTATTGTGATGACAGAAATCTCCTAATTTACCTAAGATGGTGATCAGATAGTGTAAATCGCTGTCAGTGACGTGTACCGATCCCCAAACGCTCTCCGCCAACTTCCCACCTAAGATTTCAGTATTTCTGTCAACCGGTTTCACACTATCGCACTATACTGTTTGACGTTTATGTGGTGCTTCGCGTCAAGTGATGCGTTAGGTAGTCGGTTTCCAGTTCGGAATAGTAGGTTTCTGTGCTAACGGTTTTTCCTTTCTACCGTCCATCTACTCAGATATTTTCTGAATATTCTACTTTTCTTTGTACATAAAACAAAAACTTGGTGTTATGCAGTACAACCATCAAAAAGCAGCAACCGAAACCGGCGCACGAAGTCGCATGGTTAATGGTTGTGCAAACTGAACTGAAACCAAACTCCTGACCGGGTTGCGTTGATCAATTCTTATTCTCTCTATATCAGATCCTTGAATTCCGCCAAACATTCAGCTTACCGACCATCGTCGCTGTTTTAGACATACATGCCGCGTTTTCGCTACGTGTGTAGAGCCTCTCTATGGACTTGTCTACTGGAAGAGGGTTCAAGCTAGGAAGTGCGTAATCTTTCTCATAACCGTATACTCATAAACATCCAGCCACGTCAGTGTTTATGAGCATTTCTCCCTTCCATTTACCATGAAAAGCGGAATGCGACAAGGCTGTCCGGCTTCACCTTCACTGTGCGATTCTGCAGTGGACGAAATTTTGAGGTGTCCTAGAAAAATGTCAGTTGTGACGTGGAACTACTCCTGGTAGTTCATTTTTGATTTACGGTGTGCAAATATATTGCTATAATTCCGTGATTTCCGTCAAAACACTCAATATATTCAATACAAACTAAATATCTCAAAGG